GGATTTCAGAATAGCATAGATAAATGGCACATTTGAAATGCACCAAGTGGCGGGAAATTTAAAATGAAATTCGTAATGGTGTAAGTAACGATAATAGGAGGGATCAAGCCGTGATTAAACTTATCTTTATTAGCAATGGTAGCACGGTTTGCAAGCGGAATACATAAACAAACACTATTTCTGGAATCCGCTGTGGCCAAAGTTCCGAACTTTAAGCAACGTATAGGTGTGCCAGCCTTGCGCGGAACGAACGACTACAAGAATAGTATATACGCCTGAGTCATATTGTTTGCAGCTAAAGGGTATACAAGAGTATTTGTATCGCTCTGATTTTCTAACTATGATTGTACGAAATTATACACGACAAACACAAGTTGAAGTCTAATGTATACATAATTATTATTAGATGTGTAACTAGATTTCTATTGAGCTAAACGCTTAAGTACATACACTTGACGAAATCGCAATACATTTGCTATTGAGAATCGCTGTTATCGCAACGATAAGAGATAAAGCATTGGCAAAGCCTTTTAGTCAGTATATCGAAATCCACAAATCAGTCACGTAGAAATATTACCTGGTTGCTCTGTGGTTAATCGTACGCGTTGACAATTGTAGATCCATCGGAATTTCAATAAACAGCGATATTCCGGTGGCAAGATAAACTTCGTAAATTCATAAAGTTTCATCTGTGGAAGTTGGTCGTACAGATTCTACATTCGTAGAATAGTGGTTAGTCGCAACAGGTGGTTGAAGTGTGCAATCTAGATCCTAACTGAACGCATTCACTGTTACGCGTTAATGATTGATTGCATAGTTAAAGCGTATTTATTTATTTCGACTTACTCGTACGAAACATTGAATCCTTTGACGAATAAGGGAAAAAATTAATAGCGCGTAATCTCTGTGAACGTGAGTGCAATGTTAATTAAATTTAGATAGTTACAGTCTTCAGTAAACTGATACATTTATGTCTTCTGATAAAAACAGCCAAGGGAAAATTCATTAAATAGCGTTATTTATAAGTTTAGGATAGGAAAGTTGTGCAATGTCGTTCATTTCTCTGCGCGATGAGGAAAAGACGACGAATACGTCGCTAAGAAAGTCGAGCAAATCCAAACAACGTTGGAGCTGTGTTGTACCATGCACGGTAATATCATTCAATATCTTTAAGATTTTTCATACTACGCACTCAGCCAGGTCAAAATGTCTAACACGTGCCACTGATAAACCAGCCGATTTCATTTTACGCCAACCGGACACGATGCAATATTAAATATTTTGTTCAAAATAAATTTTATTCGTTTATCGTATAATTGCTGCTGAATTTCCCAATAACTGTATTAATTTATTGACTGATATATATATATATATATAGGTACTGATATATATGATATATATAGGTACTGATATATATGATATATATACTACATATATATATAGGTACTGATATATATGATATATATACTATATATATATCATATATATTATATATATTATATATATAGTATCATATAGTATCATATATATTATATATATAGTATATATATGATATA